AATAAGAAAATACAATTAAATAGTGTACAATGAAAAGAAATTAAAAAAGAATGAAGGATCAATAATAAAAATACATACTTTGATGACATAACTGAATAAGGACTTGATCTCCAAGCTTAAGATTTTTTAAGTACTCTTAAGCTTAGATTCCAAAAGTTTTTTGTTGCAACTTCTTTAAGAAAAGTTACTTTTCAGTTAATATTTCATTTTGCAATAGTCAAACAACTGATGTCTAAGCAACTACAAAAGCAGGTGGCAAAAAACATCTCATAATTTGTAATGTTTCAAATTCCCCAGAACAAAAATTTTACTTTAACTTTGCTTCTTGTGAAATGGGCACCACTATTAATTAAAGAATGCCTTTACATATAAATTACACTGGATATTTTACAAACTTAAAGCTGCACCCCACACACAAATTTGAAAACTTAAACTCTTAAGTCAACAACCCTATTGCAAAGCAATTATTATGATCTTTCCCCAAAAAAGCCCCGCCAGTTTAACTATGCGGTATCACCTACAGTAACATTACATGCTCTTGCTTACTGAAAGATCACAGCAGCTCATCAGCAGTATGGGTGGTGACAATAATACATCTGAATTAGTGACTGTGATGTAACACTTTATTTACAGAACAATGGCTGGAATACATAAAATATTTTACGATTTCTTGTTTTGTCAAACTGGACTGTGTAATATTTTCTAATGATCACAACCATCTTTATATTAACAAATACTCTGGTTGGTCAGGAACTGCTGACTGAAGAAATAAAAACGTAAAACAAAATACTACCTTCCCCCACTCCACTTCCATAACTAGACAATCATTATCTATACTCACAGACATTACTGTACCTTTCACTTCTGTCATCTGGGATGTCCTTGTGAAATCTTAAAAAGTAAAGCTTCTCTTTGCCAACATATCATTATGAGCTACAGTGTACCTTTCATTTGCTTATATAAGCATTACTTATAAGAAAAAAACCTTTAATAGACCCAGCATTGTACTTAACTGTAGTGCACACAACATGAACACTCAGTAAGAACAAAGATTGATTAGTCACTTGTACTTAAATTTAAAATATCAACTTCTGAACTTATAAGAGGAGAGTCCTTCTTGGATTCTTTTGGAAAACCCACCAAAAGAACCTTCTTTGAGAGTTTTTTCAAAAAAGTTGGAATTCTAGGCCTCTTTACAATTCAGTGATTAGAAAATTTGCAGAGCTATGGCTCTTTTGAATTGTGACTGATGACTGATGACTTACATTCTCGGTACAGTTTTCAAATCTGCTTAATGCTTGTTATTTAAGAATTGTAAGTACTGTATAAAGAAAAGCCTTTTCATGAATGTGTGACATTTTTAAGTGCTCACATGTGAGAGTTATTTTAATTGTTTTTTCCTTTATACAAACAAGGCTAAACATTTTCTGTGAAAACATTCTGAGGAAGTCAAAGTAAATCACAATACATCAGATACACTTTAATTATGTTTGCTTTCAAGGTTATAATATTCAGAATTGAATTTGTTTATTGCATCAGTACACTGCTCCTCAATCTGCCACAGACAATGTATGGCCAGATTAGTTCCAATAATTAGGCATTAATAAAAATAACAGTAGTTCAGGGGCTGGAGTTGCTGGCAGTGACATGAGCTAAATCACTATTTCACTTCTTTTTGCTTTTCCTTGGAGCTTTGTAACTGGTTGTCCGGTGATCTTTTCTATCAAAATCATCGTGGCCCTCCCTGCAAGTATGGGATATATCATCAGTTCAGTACTCAGTAGTCAGCTTTAAAGTTTCTTTAAGGTTCCCTTTTCAATTTTAAGTATAATACAAGCCACACTTTACTTACTGGGTCAGTAAATTAGAAATATTTGTAGAATAAGGAAAGAAGAGATTATTTTCAAAAGCAATGTTAAACTGGCTGGAATCATGAATACGATTTTAAAACTAGGAGTAGCAGTAAGAGAGCCAGCATTCACAGCCAAGAGTTCTTAAAAATTGGACAAACCCACCAGAACAAAATGAACAAATGACCTGACAACTAGTAGGGTTCGAAACTTGAAACAATGCTACAGACAAACATTTTACCAATAAACTTAAAAAAAAACACACACACCTGAAACACCTTTTACAGTAGAGCTCATCATCACAAGAGCGGCAGCGAATTGTGGCATCTTCATTGCAGATACAACACCAAGGCAGCTCCTCCTCATCGCTGTCAGAAGGTGGGGCGGCAGCAGCTATCTTCTTATTTGCTCTGGACTGCGGAGCACAAGGCATCTAAAATATCAACCAGCACAATCAAACAACATCACAGCCCAAATTAAATCAAAACTTCGCCACACTCACCAAAGGTACATTCCAAGCAATTTAGTGGATTGCAGTTTTCTGTCTAGTTGAAAAGCTGCTCTTTCAGCTGCTGGTAATTCCTGGCTTTCACAATTGAGACGGTCTAATTTTATTACCTTCTTATGACCAGTTGGTTTTTCTGTGTTTATTGGGCCACTCTGTTCAGGAAGAATGTTGTAGCCACTGGCTTCATCTAAGGCTGCTTCCTCAGACAGCTGCAGGGAAGGGAAAGCAGAGTTTGTAGTCATGACCATCAATTTGTTATTGGTGACAGTACAGTACGTGGCAAGGAAGATCTATTTGGTTTCTTGTTAAGCAACTTGAGGTAAAGGGAATGAATTAGGGTTGACCATGCTTATTAAAAAATACAAATTCTTTGCATTTATATACTGCTTTCCAAAGGATCCTAAAGTGCTTATAGGAGGGGACAAAGTTCATGAGACTGATACTGAAAAAGAAAAGTAATGTGAGACTTTTGAACAACTGAGGTCGTTCAGGAGATGCATTCTTACTTGTGTGAGAAAATGAAAGTTTCCTCCCTGTAACTGTTTAGAAGCAGACAATTTCTATTTAGGACACATTTTAGATGCTGAAGAAAAGAAAAATCAGAACATCCCCCAAAACAAGCAAGAACACAAAGAGGCTGCAAAAAACATCCCAAATGATTTCGCAAAGGGTTTGGCAAGCTCAGGCTTCATGCCTCAAAGGGATATACAAAAAATAATGACTTCTTATAAGGGCACTTTATATGAGCACTTACCAAGAAATAAAACACATTTTATTGTTGTTATTTTAATATTAATCTTATGTTCACAAATACAGATTGCTTGACTATAAAGTACAAGTAACAGTTTTCACCTTCTGGTCTGAATACTTTTAGATCCCACAATATATTTTATATACTGATTTGGATATGAAGGACAAAGAACTATAATACAAAAACATTAATTACTTAAAAACATGGAACCTTAATAATCTAGTATTCAAGAAATGTGCTCTGGTTCCCTCTTCTGGTCAAAGATGTAACAAGCTATTAACCTATTACATTACAAGATATTTAAAGTATGGTGATAAGAGATACAGTATTTGTATACACATCTGTAAGACATTCACTATGTGAAAATGTTCAGATGCTTTCTCCGTATTAGAAATATCCAGGTTACACACCTGCTTCAATATTCTCTTCAGTGACTCCTCCTCTGTCTCCTCTTCACTGTCTGGTTGACTGAAATCATTTGCTGTGACTGGGGTACAAAACAGAACATGGGGAGTGATACTGTGAATACCTGAAAGACGTTTGCCAATGATTATTAAGAGGACAGTGGATGATCGTCTTGGAGCGAGAAGGATTGACACAAGGATTGACCTACTCTTGCCAGGGTCCTGTCCCTTCAGGAGCGCCAGCCTCCTTGCCATCTGCAGCACCTGTTCCCGGCCCAGGTTCTCCTGCTTCAGCTCCTCCATGGCCTCTGCTAGTAGCCGGCTCTTCTCCGATTCCAGCTGCTTGGCATCTTGCCGCAGGTCATCCAGGTTCTCATCTAACGTGCTGTCTGCCTTGTTCAGGTTGTTCAAGGGACCATCTGTGCCCGGGAACAGAGAGTGTGATCATGTGGGAAAGGTAAAACTGGCAATTAAATGTAATGTGTAGGCATACGAAGAATTGTGGGAGCATAATTCAGAGGCTTAGTGTGTGCAAATGGTACTAAAACTTTGTGAAGAAGTCTTGAGGTCTCTGTTATTCAAAATTCCTTCAGAGACAAGCTATCTTGATTATATACAAACAACACAGTGTGCTCTTCATGTTAGTTATCGTAGTTTACCTCTTAAGGAAAGCACTTCCCATATTAAGAGCTGTATATATTGTACTGTATATAAAAGATATGCTAGTGCCATTTTTCCAACAAAATAGTGCCTATATAAGGGATAGGAAATGCAGATAGTGAGAGGTATATTTAGAGATTCTGTACCTGTAACACCTTCTGAGCCTGATTCTGGTGCAAATCTGTTGTCTATTGCTACCTCTTCAGACAGCTGGGTTATCAGATCACTGGCTTGCTCAGTCTGGGTCCTTGCATCTGGAGGTTGGTGAATCTGCAGAGCATTTAAATAGTCATTAACATAAATCACTAATATTCTTAGATACCCGAATAAAAATGTATGGTTGCTTGTCATATATGTAATAGACCTCAGGGTCTGTGTTATTCTATTTTTGCATGCCCTACCTTTTCCAACAAGCAAGATTAAATTTGGGCTGATGAACTGCTGTTGCTATGGTATGGACTATACTTTTACACTTTCCAGAAAGTTATGTCTATTAATAGTGAAAAAAGACAGCAATTCTCTGACATGGTTGTTTTATTGTTTTGGATATCCATGGTCATTAAAGTTGATTGGCACTTAAAAAAAATTTTTTTTTTTAAAAATGGAGGATCACAGCAACAATAGGAAAAACTGCTTTATTTACAGCTGAATCTTTTATTCTGGGGATATTTGTTAAACAAAGGCCCAACTTAAATACTAAGATAAAGCGATTAATCATATTTACAAGTAACAACTTATTATTCGATTTTCAATAAGACATCCTCGTGTGTCTATGTTAGAAAGTATGATTCTCGAAAAAATTAATAGACTTCAACAGCATACATGGAACTATCAATGGTATATTTGCTGAAATGCTGCATTAAATAAAAACAAATAATAAATTCTGTGATTTATTAAGATATTCCCGATCCTGAAGATTTTTGTTATTGATTTCTATCCTGATTTCAACAATAAAGGTGGCACGATGCACACAACAATAAAGAAACCACAGTACTCACTGGTCTGGGGACTTGCGATGGCGGGGTCACTCCCTGCAGAGCGGCCAGGCGGTCCTCCATCTCTGCGGCAGTGGGAATAGGACGGGCAGGGACCTTGAGAGCAGCCAGTCGGGACTCGATCTCTTTCTCCGAGGGAATTGATCCTGGATTTCAGACAATCACATACTTTATAAGGCACAGCTTGGGCAGAGCCTTACAGTCAGGCAGCTAGGAATACTTGGAGCCTTCCAAATTAAAGGCTACCTTAAAAAACAAAACATATGATATATTGCAATTTCACAATAATGAAATATACTGCAATGTTGTCATACAACCTTTTTCTTCTTTGTGGTACCACGATGCTTCTGTAAGTTAGTGTAGCATTTACTATTTTTATGATAGAGCTTAAATAAATATTATAGGGATGCTATTTAATGTGTGCATATACAACTGAAAATCTTGCAAATATGCACCACAATTCTCCTTTTTATTTTTTACATTTTTATTTGGGAATGTGAATACTTGTTACTAGTGGTAACAAAAGCAAACAATTTTCTCTGTGGCCAGATTTTCCATCTAATAAATTTAGGACAGATCAACTTATTAGGAAAATTTAGGGGAGTGTTACATACATGAAGTTAACAAGCCTAGTTGTTCAAATCAAGATTTCCAGAAGAGAGTGGTATTTTCGAGTCCAAATGCAAGAGTTTCTTCAGTACATTATTTTATTCAAGAATAAATTATTTTATTCTAGCAACTTTCACTTAAAATACACAGAATGAAAACTTAAATCTGGCTCTCCAAAAGGCATTCCATATGACCTACATCTCAAAGAAAGAAGATCTTAAAGATTTAAAAACTAAATAAACTGACTGGGTGTGGTGTCCTCCTTGAGTCTCTCCAGTCTCTCAGCTATGGCCTGATCCTCCTTGCTCAGCCCCCTGGCAACAGGGAGTCGGGGGGCAATGCTCTTAGAACTGGGCCTAGATGCTGGACCCTGCTGGCTCTGCTTGGCTTCCAGAGCTGCCACTCGTCTGAGGATGCAGAAAAATATATTTGTTATTCTGCATTTGAGGACCATTAAAAGATCTGTACTAATCATCTTTCATATTTTTCAAATATGTTATTCAAATGTACTCCACACAGTGCTGGATTAGCTGGATTTTGAATCACAGCAGGAAACATAAACATTGGTATCCTTATATGCATCTACACATCAATTAACAAAAAGCCACTTACTTCTGATAAGTGCTGCAGCAATCTGGAGCATATAGGATAGGCTCTGTCCCGGAAGTATAGGGTACTAGGAGGAACTACACCTTAGACAAGGCGCAGACACAAGCTCATAGGGACAACTTATAGATGCCATGTAAACCAGCCAGCATGTCTTTAGGGAGGTAAGTACAGAAATCAAGAAAAACCCACACTGCAGACAGATTGAGCCCAGGGCCGAAAACAAATTCAGGACCCAAGAGCAACGCAAACAGCCAGGCCATCCCATCCTGTACCTGAAACTACTTAATTCACCAGAACAAATAACTCTTGTCTAGATTACTGTTCTTTAAGCATTGAATATGTATCCATATAAACGTATTACATTCACTTAATTCTTGAATTATTTTACTTAAATATACTGTAAGGTGGTTGGTAATGGTTGCGCCTGGTTGAAACCGTTTATAGATTTTAAATTTGAAGAATCAGCAAAAATAATTTTTGTATGTAAAAATGTTTTTAAAATACCGTAGTATACACATATACAAATTAAGCAAATACAACTTTACACAATACTTAAAACTGACTACTGCTGCTTAAACTAAGTGCACATAACTTTTATAATACTAAACATTTAACAGATCTCATGGACATTGTTCCTGTAATGATGACACTTCCTTTCAAATGGCATCAAATGCCAAAGACTTTGCTATGTAACTTCAGTAAGAAATTGTTGACTGTATCCTGTGGAGTCTGATGATGCCAGAATAAATATAACTCAGCTGAACAAATTCAAATACAGAAAAAGACCTGCTATCCTAAAAGTGAAAAATGCTTTGTTTTTTGTATCCATAAAGGAACAGAAGTGGGTGGTAATGTTTAAGGTTATGTTTTTTATTTAGATTTTCCAAAGGAAGGTGGAATAATTTAGTGTTGCATAAGGTCTTAGGATTCAGGAAAAATATATATATATTTCATTGGTACCTGCATGAACAAACTCCTGTTTTCAATTTCTACACGGTATAATTTAATAATAAAAAGAAACTGAATTTCCCTATGTATTTCACACCTTTTTGCCACATTTTTTTATTATTCTGGAGACATCCTTCAAAAGGGGTAAAATTCTATTCATATTAACGACTAATATATCTTCAAATTCCAAGATAAAGTAGAAGGAATTAAAAGCAACAACCCAGCATCCCAATGTACAATCACACCAAATTTTGTAACCTCACCAAGTTTGACATGATAATCAATGACTCACTTTTTGTAATTCTCTGGTGGTGACCACTTAGCCGCATTGTTTAGGGTTCCTCCACTGCAGTAAATGACAGTAGAGAACAGTAGATAAGCATACTGATCTTTAAATGCATGTTCCACATATACATTCTGAAGCTTAAACCTCTTTTTGTTTTACTTTCAAATACCTGAAGACAAACCACAAAGACAATAATTCAGACCTTTTCTTTAGGGATGATGGTAGCCTTCATTTTACAGTGTTTTAAATATTTAAGGATAATGCTGAATGAATCTGCAAGAAAATATCAGTGAAAATCAATTTTCACACTAAAACAAGCTAATGGGAAAGAAATCAATTTATTTTTAAACGGTCTTTGCTTTGTCAAAGTGTTTGAAAAATACACTCTATTGTTCTATATAATGCATGACATGAAAACTTTCAACAAGAAATGGTTATTTTTCATGTTTGTGATTGCAACAACACTTAAACCACTGATATCTTAATCAGCCCTCTACTTTGTTCATGTGGAAGCTGGGGATGAGTTTAAAGGTCACTAACAAAAAGTTTCGATTGCCACCTTGTGAGGTTTCCATGGCATTGCTTGCAGACCTTCTGCTGAGTGTTTCCACACCTTGGCACAAGACAGCTGTAACCGAGACACCCTGCGCAGTAGGAGCGACCGCAGTTCTTACATGCCGCCTACAAGAGAACGCGTCGAAAGCTATTAGGTGGACAGACAAAAATGAGCACTGTTCTGTGGAAAAATGTGGAATACATTTTGAATCGCTTGACATAAATCATAATTAAAAGAAGCACCTAGTTTATTTTCAACACACAAATACGATTTGATATGAGGTTTGGGTAGAAAGTAAAATGTGTACTTTGTCAATATTAAAGATTGCTCATAAAAGACAGACCTCCTTCTTGAAGAGCGAGAATTTTGAAGCACAGCCGTAACATCTGCTGTCCATGTCGTTCATCCAGACTAGTCCCAAGTCTAGACAGAAAGGAGATGTTGCTTCTGAGAAAAGAAAAGGACGTTTTGTATAGCATTGGTAATTTATTTTAGACGTGCTCTAAAGTTTATTCCAATTAAAAACTAACAAAATACCCATCAACCAGGTAAAGTTGTTAGCTACCGTATTACTATGTTTTACCACAACACCTACCCCTCCTATTGTTGTATTAGTCAAACTGCAGCTGTCCAATTCAACTTACCAAAGCAGTTACATGCTTCTCAGTATTAGACTACTAGTGTGCTGTGTTTTATGACCTTTGACGCATTGAAATTAAAACGCACATAGTAATTGAGACTAAAACAATTCGAGTAAGGCAATAAAAAAGCAAAGGAACAACACTGAAAACTGCGGACTTTTCCAGATTTCTAACCCCAACCAAGACAGGGTCAGGTTGAACTGACGCGAACACAGTCAAATACAGGAAGTTTCCGATAGCTTTCCCACTGCATCCTGGTAGATATAGTTCGAAAAGAAATGGTTATAAAACAAATATTGAATACATAATGAAAATGAGATTTTTGTTGTTCTCCGTGGTTAATATATTGAAAATCAATTAAAATTAAGCAGTATTTTCTTAAACACTTACTCATCGCATGTTTTCTGTTCTTGGTAAGAGTCCTGAATCATTAAACACCCAAAGTGTTGAACTACATTTCCCAGGCTACTTAGTTACGGCGTGTATATATTTTCAGCATACTATTACCCTAAATATTTTTCAAGAACATAAACACAATTTGGATATTAAAACTATAATTAGGAATACTAATCAGTTGCGTGGTATTTTATTTAAATTCGTTTTAAAGAGGTTTCGAATGATTGGACTATTGTTAGAAACACGTTGGTGTGACGGCCCAATCAACTTCAGGATGTTGGTCTCTGACCCTGGCGGTTTGTATTTGAATTATTTTAAACGCAGGGAGGAGAAAGCCAGCTTGAATCTCATTGTTAAAATAAGAAACACACTTTTCAAGTATATAGATTTAAGGTAAGTTATTTCAAATTGTTTCCTCTTCCACTGCGAATTGCGCAATTGTCAATAACACTTGCTGAGTAAATGTAAGCGATTTCATGGTATTGGTTCCTAAGAAGGGAAACATTTGCTTTTGTATTACCTCACACAGCTTTTTCATTTTAAAAGGCGGAACGTGTAATAACGACCAAACATAACTAAATCTACATCAGAACTATGTATCTTAATGCGTTATTTTTGCTAGCTGTAGGTTAATGCTTGCCTGTCTTTTGAAAGCCTTTTTTTAAGCATGACTTGCAAAACCAGGGCAATCAGTGAAGTAACAAGCATATTTCGTGTTGTTAGAGGATTTGTTTTCATGCTCTTGCTGCATTGTTCCAGCTGGGACACAGCGCGGTATGGCGGAGGAGTCTCCAGAATGGGAACTGTGCAAAGAGAATATCCAGCCCCTGAAACAGGGTCGGTCCATGTCCGCTCTTCTTCAAGCCCTGGCCAGCCAGGAAGGGGGCCACAGCGCTGCCATCGAGCAGGAGAAACAGTGAGTGAACTTGGCAATCTTGTGTGTGTGTCTTGCCTGAAGGACGTTTTTCTTTGGCTGGTTGACATAATTTGTAATTTTGGTGCATTATCATTTAGAACGGAGGATAGATTTTTAAACGTCTATAAACTGCATGGATGTTGGTTAACTTTATACTGTTATGTGTAAACCATGATTACAATGTGCCGATGGAGTTAAAACTTCAGTAGATTTGCATAAACTCATTTTAAATGAAGAATCTACTGCAGACTTATGAATTTTAACAGAACAGGTGAATCCTAGTAAGTATGCCCCACAAGTAGAAGAGGCTGTGATTAAAAAGTGTTACACTGTCAAATGGCAATGTGAGGTTGAAAATTGTAATCATGCAAAATTGCAGCCATCACCTAATCAAAATGCTTATTTTATAAATGGTTATACGTGAATGAAAAGTCTCTGAATCTGAATAGGATGTTAATGCTGTTAACTTCCTAAACAAGCAGTAGCTTTAGTTGAAAATAGCCTGTAGATGATAGGAGTGCAATATATTGCATACAAATGTGTTGCAAGGATAAGTTAACATTTCGTACACATAAGTTACAGTTTGGGAATGTGTGTGACCTAGCACACTCTGCAAGGCTTGGAAGCCAAAAGGTTGCTTGCACCTTCCAGATGTAAACTGTTTTCTCCCCCGTTAGGGCTTTTGAGTCCGAAATCAGATTTTACGAAGGGGATGATCCGCTTGATGTGTGGGAAAGGTAGGCTGTTTTTACCGTTTCTTCAGAAAAAGGGGTTCTCTACTATAAGATGAATGTGCATTATTCTCTTAAGATACCACAGTGTTTTAAATTATTTAAACATTTGATTGGTGTAGTGTTTTTAGATTTGACTTCTCAATTATCTTGATACTGATCAAAATATTTTGATATCAAAGTAAGCATGCATAGTCAAAAATGTTGTAACCTGCAGTTCCAGTAAGTATTAGTATACCTATTGACTTACCGAACTTGTTTAAAAGTTTGCTGTGACATAAGAACATTTGTTTGATTGCCTAGTTGTCCCCCAAAAAATACAGATTGTAAGTGCTAAGAGAGATGTATTGCATTAGAATAAAAACTGTATAAAGTATTTTCCAGTACTGTAATGCTGCAAACCGTAAGAATAATACAGAAAATGGTAAGACCTGGGAATATTTTTTTTCTTGGGGTTGAGGCATTTGATCTTGAATAAAAGCAAACTATTAAGTCAAATTTCTCTTGTCTTAATTTGCATTCTCAGGTGGTATGTAATGCAGCTTCTGTAAGTGTTCTGAATTAAATGATAACATTAATGTGGTTAGTGGTTAACATTGTAACAGCTGTCCAAGAAAAAAACAAAAGGCCTACAGTATATTCAGTCCTACAAGTGTTATGGTTTATTGTAAGGTGAAAACAATGAAACAGTCTGTAAATATATAAAAAAAACTTTAAGTACAGAGACAAAGTACACCAAAACCAATTCACTTCAAACTTTATTTTCCCCTTGGAAAAGTTCACTTTACAGGCAGTCCAGTACAATGAAGCCAGTCCAACATTACCAAGAGTAGACAGTACAATAGTGTCATAGGACATAAAGGAAAGAGTTTTTATAGATTTTTACACCTGGGGACACAGAGGTCAATTCACAATTTAGGGCGTGAGACACCATAATGCTCGTGGCCATCTTTACAGCCCTATGTTTGTTAAAAATATTATTATTTTACTTATTTTCTTCTCTGATTTTCAACCTATTTCAATTAACAATACTGATATTTCCAAACCAGCAAGTGATACAGTATTGTTACAAATGGGGGGGGGGGGGGGGGGGTGGGTATGAAACTGGTGAAAGTCAGGAGTTGACCAAGCGGTTTAGTCAATCAACTTGTAACTTGTAAATGATTTCTAGCAATATACCCGAGTGGCTAGTATAAGTAGAGGCATGTGAATTCCTTGTTCTCTGGCATAGCTTTTTTGAGAGGAGTAATAATCCAGACACACTTGGTTAAACAAATATTTATTGCAATGACAAAACGCAAACTACACTACAAACAACATACCACACACAAGTTACTTTATGTACAGTATTTACACACAAGGCCTAACATTCTGGTCACCCAGAAAACCCCAAACTGCTTCTAAGCATTAATAAGTTCTCTTTGAGGGTAAATGTTCTGAAAACAAAGGAACTGGTCAGTGATCTTAGGGAAAAAATGCAACATCTCTCCAACCAACCTTAATTAATAGTGCAACTATAAAAAATGTAAAAGACTTAAGTACTTGGGACTAGTCATAGATAAAAAAAAAACCTGAGATGGCACAAATCTGACACTTTTCAAAAACAAGTCGACAGTCTTTTTTTCTTAAGAAACGACTCCAAGGTAGATAGAACTATTTGAGCACTTGTCTGCAAATCATTTATTGAAAGCATCTTAACATACTGTTTCAGCTTTGTGTGACTTAGAAGTGTGTTTTGGATTTTAGATAAAGTTTGTGACATTGGGAAGGGTAAACACTTCAAACTCCAAAGGAGAGAGGATGTTTATTGAGGTCAGGGGGGTCCCTTGAGCAGAAAAAAATTGTAAAAAATGTATCTTAGTATACCTAGGTGAGTTGTGGGTTAATGATTGCAAAGGAGCAGGACAGAAACAGAGAATATAAGATCACATTATAGAGCTTGGGAAAAGAAGGACAGGAAAAAAGAGGGAGAGGAGTAGGGACTTAAAGCTTGCTCCAGGCGAGAGCCCCTACTTTTTGACCATCCAAATCAAACCTGAGTGGAGCAATGTATTCGAACCTTGCGAGAGAGAGTGTGCTTTTCTGTGTTTTAGGGAACTTGAGTTTTCTGGGTAAAATATACCTCAGTTAAAAACGTCTTTCCTGCTTAGGGTGCATTTTTATGGATAGGGATATAGGCTCCCATTTATTTTGTGGCAGAGAGAGATTTAACTGTACGGTCCTTTGTATTTAGTTAGAAGGCAGCTTCTCTAATAAGGCCACTGTAGGCATTAAGAGTTTAAACAATTTAGTAAAATAATTTAGAATGGGCTCATGATGATTTTTACGTCCTATAATAAGCTGACCAGGGTTGTGTCATCAGCAGATGTAATAAGATTTTTATCTGTTTTTTCTTTTACATTCGTTACTGTACAAAAAGACCAGAAGAGGGACAATTCGCAGCCCTGTGGTGATACAATGGAACTGTAGGGAATGTGAAATATCTAGTTCCCAGTTTAAGTTAAGTCTAGGACCATCTTATCAAGTTACTGTTTAAAATGAAGCTCTGTGAGAGGTTCTGTGTAATCAACAGTATTGTATTAAAAGCAGCAGCAAAATCACCAAATACGATCCTTACAAATGCCCTTGCTTGGTCAAGTTGTTGATAGACCAAATCTAACAATGTGATCATTGCTTTATCTGCTCACCTCTGTAAGCAACTGCAGGGGGTCAATAAGGTCCTGTGTTCTTTGTGATGTGATGTCACAGAAGACGCATGAGAAAAGACAATTTGAGATTGACTTCAGCATTATACTTTAAGTAAATGTTGCCCGATTCTAACTATGGAAAAAATAGGATTACTGGAATGTTACATGAAAAACTGCCGTCACATTTCTGGAAGTAATATATAAGGCAGAATTGTTCAGTTACCTGCTATGAGCTCTTTACTGTAAGTATGAGCAGAAATGCATTTGTGCAGTAACAATTTCCCCTCCCATCTAGAGTGGGATGAAAGTTCTCAGCTATAATGGCATCTCTTCCAGGCTAAAGATCATCTAACTAGATATTGTTGCAGGTTTGGAAGAGAATCAAGTATAGACCACCTGTAGCTACTGTGCAGTGAATGATGAGCTTCGTGCTACAAGCAAAAAATGGAAATGTTAGAAATTATTTTATGCTGGCACATTACCTCGACTGTATGTTTTCTTCCTAGATACATAAAATGGACACAGCAGATGTACCCCCAAGGAGGAAAAGCAAGTAACTTTTCCACCTTGCTGGAGAGGGCCGTCATGCGGTTCAAAGACGAGAAGAAATACTTCAATGATGTCCGTTATGTTAACCTCTGGATTAAATTTGTGAGTGATCGACTGCTATCTTCAAATTATGTTTTGAGAAGTGTGGTGATTAGGTTTGTGAACCTTTTTTTTTCTTTTTTTTTAAAGGCTGGAATTTGCGATGAGCCTCTTGATCTGTATAGCTACATGCATGCCCAGGGCATTGGGATAATGACAGCTGTGTTCTACATATCTTGGTCTGAGGAGTATGAGAAGCATGGCAATTTAAAAAGAGCAGAAGCTGTCTACCAGGATGGTCTGAGATGCCGGGCCGAACCTTTCGATAAGTTGCAGTACCATCACAAGTAAGTTTATTTTTATTTACAATAGATTTTTGTTTTTTAAACATTTTTGCCATTTGGCTATATTTAGGGTCTACTATATAATAATGAATGCGTTCCCTTGGTTTTTGTATGTGAGGTTGCATAAGGTCGGTTACAACAAAAAACTGAATTAAATAAGATGACAGAGTAGATGATCAGTACAAATGCACAAAACTACAAAGGGTGACAATTGAGTTGACATGTCCATTGGAAGAATTCTGCTCGTTTGTGTACATTTTAAAAGCTTTGTTAAGGGGCTTGTGTGTGGCTCAGCCAGTCAAACCCTTGCCTGAAGTGCAGGTTGAGCTCAATGGAGCTCTATTTGAGGTTTTAGCCTACATCATATTACAAGTTGACTGTGTCAGTCCATATATAGCTCGAATACTGGTAGGATAGGATTTGGGATTATTTAGAGCAGGGGTCTCTGTTTTTCAGTACATAGCATTCCTATAATGTGCCAGTCACCTGCAAGCCTGGCGCCTTCTCTGCTGTCAGCTACTGTAGAATTTATAACCAATGCCTTTTCAGACATGTATTGAAGCTGTCGCTAGTGCACAAGGTTTAAAAAAAAAAGTAAATGTTGATTGCAAATTGGAGTGGTATTTAATTGGCAATTCCCAATAACTTAGGGGGTGAATCACTCTTACAATGCTGAATTATTTTAAGACATTTAAGGGATTACAATATGCACTTTTTTTTCCCCAAGTCTGATGTTGAACATTGTACTGCTTTACTGGTCTGGTACTTACTGACCCTCTCTTTCCAGGAACTTCAATTCACGTGTGATTCATAAGGTTGTAGCAGACATGGCCAATGGGGAAGAGGAAGCAGAAAGCCCTGAGCCCTCACAGCCTCAGAGGGCTTCACTGGCAGATCTCAAGCCCAGAGGGCACAAAAAGGCGATTGTACCTGTGGAGCGGATAGGGGCTGCTGCCAGTTGTAAGCTCATGGTTCCCTCTTTGTTTTTGCATGTTTTATCTTTAAAATGTTACAACCTTAATTCAAAAACCGATTACACGAAATTGGTGTTTTTCTTCTTATTCATTTCTTTCTGGAGCTTATCATGTCTTTTGCATTTGCTTCTTTCTGGTAGATCGTGGTGGGGGACTGAATTTGCAGGCACCTACCTTAAAATCTGTCCAACAGAACCACCGATTAACAGTGTTTGATGAAAATCAGGCGGGAATTGTTGAATCCTCCAATTTCAAGCCGGAACCCTGGCTCGCCCCACCAGAAGCCAGAGCCAAAGAGAATGACCCCAAGCCAGAAAAATGGAATGGTGTCAAGGTATGCAACAAGAGACGCCACCGTGCAGTCTTGGGTTTAGAAGTGTTTGTGCTCCTTTTGTGTGAGCTCCCTGGCTAAAATATTTAAAAAAGCCTCAGCAAATAATTCAGTGGTTTGAACTGGATGTGTATTCTACAACGTCCAGTTTTTGCAGCTCAGTCCCATCCCATTTGTTTAGTAGTACCTTTGCCTTCTGGCTGAGTTTGTGGTCGCGCCGTTTGATAATGGAAGGAATGTTCCTCTCAAAATGGTTTTCGGTAGGAGGGAGATCTGAGGATTGTTCTGGCTAAGAAAGGTGATGGAAGCCTGCTCTCAAGTCAACCATAGATTGCCTTTGATCAAGGTTTCCTAGCATTTGTGGGTATTGTCAAAACCTGTCAGATTTCAAACTTCAAAACTCCCCGCTATGCTAAATTATATAAAATGGACCAATTTTTTCCCCATTGAATAAATGATGTTTTTAAATATTAAGTAGTTTTTATCTGTTGTGAAAGCCTGCCATTTAAAGTTTTGAGGTTTTGCCGGGATGTGAAAACTTTGGAAAAACTTTTATAGGCACTTGAGATTTTAAAGCCCATTCTGATGTGCAAACAAGATGCACCAAGAAAGTCTTTGCTTTGAAATACAATTACTACAGCAGTAGTTGGGATCTGTTCTTAAAGCCATTTAAAGCCTTGGTAATAGTCAGGCTTGGAGTTATTTGAAATGAGTCTTATGCAATTTCCAATTCCACAGAAAAAGTCTGTGTCCAGTTACAGTACCGAGGTTCCGCCTTGCAAGCCAAACTTCCAGCCATTTGTGGAGGAGTCTGATCAGCTGCCAGCTGTGTAAGTAACTGATATGTAACTTTCATATCACACTACAGTGTGATATGACAGTTGGGATGAACTCCGCTTGGTGGTTATTCATGGTTCAGAAATAGGTATAAGCAGTCAGTCTCCTTTCAAGTGTCCATTTTCTCTTAAAAAAGAAACTAGAAAGTTTAAATATATTAATCATGTCACTATACAGGGTGGCAAGGTAGCACAATCATTACCATTGCTACTTTGCAGCACTGGCTTTGCATTCCTGGGGTGGTATCTGCAAGGAGTTTGAAATATAGCTTAAGTATCAGGTTTATAAATCTGCCCTAGCATTTCTGGAGTTTTTCAATAAGGTGAGCTTATGAGTAATTACCCCACAGGGATGTTTCAAAATTGTTTGACAGAAGTTAAATCTCAAGTGAATAGAAATGATCAATTCAATTTTTTCTTCAGAACAGCAGTTGTTGAATAAATGCTTTACTTTTTGGATATAGTTGAGCCACATTAGCTAATTGTAAATATATTAATAGCTAATAAATTTAACTAAAAACAAGTTGCAGCCAACTGTTAACTATTTTTCCCCATCATGTTTTCTATTGCATGGTCACCTAATGAGTGAGTCTGTGTTTTTGTGCAGAACACCCTGCAAGATTGACCCATCGGTGAACAATGTGCTCTCGGCCAGAAAGCCGGCAAAAGAGGAGACCCCACTACAGAGACTACAGGTCCAGCAGCCCGGTGATGGGGAGAAGAAGGAGCAGAGTACATACTGCAAAGAGTTGCTCTATAGTGGAGCCACTGAATTCTGCTTTGAGGAGCTACGTGCTGAACGCTACAGGATAAAGAAAGCCAAAGAAATGGAAGGTAAAAGAGTAGGGCATTTGGCAAGTTCACCTTGCATACTGTGCCTACTTCCGAAGTTGGATATTTCTTTATTCACCAAAGGCTCATGTATGATGTGCTCAAACTTTGTTTCAGGAAACTTCCATCAGGAACAAGCAGTTAAAAGAATGGAAGTTCTTCTCTAAATTTAACAGTGCGTTCGATTGTTCGTTCTTCATTCACATTTACAGGGGGAAAAAATCCAGAATTGTATGTACACCCATCTCTCAGTTATAGCAAGTAGCCATATCCCTCTGCGACTCACAACTGGCAACCCACTGAAGCATAATAATGCATGCTTTGTTACAGTGAAAATGGATAAACTGGGTGTTTGTAAATTGAGGTATATGAATATTCTCTTCTGTCTTTGATACAGGCACGTTTATTATGGAGCGCATCTCTTAGTTTTTCTTCACTTTATTTTGATTTGAACCAGTAATGTTTCTTCCACACTTCAATCGTAACAGGAGTATATCTGTGTACAGGATTCTCCCATTGTAGTACTTCTGTATATATGCTAGGTTTCGTGTTTTAGTGTTGAAAGCACATAGTATTATTGACAGTCATTGTCACAATGCAAGCGTTGAAATGCAAAGGGAATTCATTTTCTAAAGAGAAACTTCACAGTGTCTGAGTCGGCTTCGATTGTCTGTGACATAAATTGCCCAGGTTAGTTGTTTTATAATTTTGTTTCCTTTTAATGTAAACATTTTTGGCTTAAGAACCATGAAAAGGAGTAGGAAAGAAAATAGTGTTTTGGCAGTGGAGCACTTGTTAGCTTGCAAGCTGACACAGCTCCCCACTCAAATTTCTTTTATGCTTTTATATGTCTGTATGTATATATCAATATTTTCCTCTAACATTTTAGAGGAAGTTGCTAAGCTGGCTAGAAGAAAAGAGGAACTGAGAAGAGAAATCGAGGAAAAGGAAAGACTGCTTCAGGAAGCGAGTGTGAACAGTCTGTCTTGTTTTCCTAAGCAGGTGAGGAAATGTGACCTTAATTGGCAAATTTATCATGTAGGACATTTTTTTTACCTCCATATTTGTTGCTTATATTTTGTATTCTGTGCTGTTGTGTAGATGAGTTTTGAACTTTTGTTTTGAGATACCAACTATATAAGAATTTGTAATTTTACCATGTACTGCACATCACTCTCATATAGTACCACTGGTAACCTTTATACATTAGCAGTTACAAAATGTTTAAGAATTGAAAGTTTGTTTTAACATTAAAACAAGATTTAACTATTTATACGCTGATTTTAAGAAACATTTTTCGTAGGTCCCACCAGATCACCTTCAAGTTCCAGAAATTAAGTTTGATTCGGTGTCTCTGGACCAGTCAAGAGCACCTGTGGACTCTCTTGAGGGATCAAACACAAAGTTCACAATTTACGATGAATCGGCACTAGGTGCCTATCCTCCACCAAAGTAAGACTTCAGTGTGATCTTGAATTTGTTTTAATACAGTTGGGGGGGAGGTGGGGGTGATAAAAATGTAATGATAAAGCAGTTTAGAACACTTAATGCAAAGAATATGTTCTTAGCTAGTTGATCCCTTTAGCAATGTAATGCAAATAGACTAAATCAGAAGTTAATCACTTTCCCATAAGAAAAATCAATCAGTTTAGTTTGTGTCAATAATATACCAGATTCTTTGATGAGCAGTATTTACATATTGACAGATATGTCATGTTTTGACATTAATGATCTTGGCTGAGAATTTCTTAAACTGTAGTGGGTTTATTTTATGATAAAGGAGTGGGTTATTTATTTAATGTTATAGGATCTTCATCTTAGTTTGTTATAACTAAGAATTGTCTTTCTCTTTTTGTAGAGACCAGTGCATCCCAAGCCCTGTTGACCTTCTAGGTGTGTTTTCAGGTCATATTTTTGTTTGTAAGATGCCTTCCTCGTGTAAGAACAGATACTACTAATTTTCCAATACAACATCTGTGGATTGCACAATCCTGTAGAGCCATTCCTCATTTGACATGTTGCAAGCTCCACAGTGCCTGACAGGAGACTTAGGGGTATGTCCCTCAGTGAAGCCACTACAAGCTTGCTGGCTCTGGGCATATCACAAAGGATGTATGCTGGTAATCTAAGAGAGATTTGATTGACTCAATTCTACCTTGGTGGTACTCTGCCAGTTGTGTGCCTTAATAAACATAACATCAATTTACAATTGATTAGGGACACAATCCAGGCTCAATCGATTCTCCACCAAACTCAGTCTGTGCTCCAAACAAACAACTATTTTTTTAACCACTTGGATGCTCCACAGGGTAGTTTTTGTTTATGAATAAAAATATTGAAGAATAAGTGTTTGAAGGAACCTCCTTTTATGACTCTTTACCTCTTAGTTTTTTTAGATGTTCTTGGATTTAGATTCTGGCTAACAGATTTAACACTTAATTTATGCTTTTTTCTGTGGCTAAGAAACGTCTATTTTTATTTCAGATGATGTTTTCACGAGTCCGTCAGTGAAAGATGATCTTCAGTTTGAGGCAATGTTTCTGAAGTCTTGTAAGTTTTAAGATTTCATACCACAATAGTGCCATATCACTTTTATATTGTTGCATTCATCAGTGAAAATTAATATAACTTAGGTTGGAAGACTGTCTTTAATTTTGGAATAGTATGTTTGTTTATTGGGGATTCAATTTAGTTGCAAAACAAATGCACCTTACTATATTTAAAATATCAAAGAACTAAAATCCTCTTTGCTCTGTATCCAGCACATCAAAAATCGTGATTTTGTTTGAGGCGTTTTTGTGTTTTATTCATTATAGAAAAATCAGGAGTTACATCTGTTTTATTAATAATTACAATGTGACCTTATGAACATAGTTTTGCTGTAATTGGGAAAGGAAATAATTTCCCAACCTCACACTGTCCATTATTGTTTCTGATGTGACATTGCTGGATGTTAAGACTGAAATATGCTGATTTGTATTATTTAATTTGTAGGTAATGATGGATCAAGGCTGGAAAATGTACCTGTCAACAAACCCCTCTCAGAGTTTCTTCCTTTCACTATTCTCGAAGAGAAACCAATCAGTGAAAGTCTTCAGAAACCGTATGTACTTTACATGTATTTTACTAGCCTCTATTTCAGGTTTAAAGCATGGTTTTATGAGGCACAGTTTTTCTTTGTTTCAGGGTTTTTGAAAAGACTGGAATGCTCACATAAAACTAAAATAATGTCCACTTTTATCATGGGCAGGTAGAAGTATAGACTATATGTGCAAATAACTATATGTGTAATGGTGAAACTATCTTTTGCATTGGATTTTTCCAAATTTCACATAAGCACATAAAAAATACTGAAACTTTAATTCATGCTGGATCCTAATTTTAGAATTAATACACTTTTTGATTGATAGCTGACTGTCACTGTCATATTATTATGATCTCGAATCATGACTTTCTTCCGATTTCTAGAGCTCCTGTGAATGCTTCGAAACCTACTGTTCGCAAGCCGTTGGCTGCAATACTGAAGCCACTGGGGAATCCTCCACCAAAAGAAGCTGCGGATGATTGTGTAAAACTCTTTTACTATCTAAATTGGAGTTCGATATATTATTTGAAAGGAATGGGCATTGATGTATAAAGTTTTCTTCTGTTTTTAAGTCCGTAAAGTTTTCACTGGGAAGAGTTAAGGATGCAAAGATATTAATCTTTGCATTTCAGCTGCAATATTTTAATATTTTACAGAATCTAGTACTCTTGTTTCCCAGTCATATTTTTCCTTAATTTCTTGTCGGCGGCAATGTGAGATTACAACAAATGGAAGAAGTCATTCTGAGGTTTTTTTTCAGGATGAATTGGAAGGAATTGAGCCTTTGAATGAAGAAGCTATAGTTGACAGCTACAGGAATAAAACCCTCTGCCCTGTGCCTGATGACACCTGTGACTTTTTGCGAGCAGCACATCTGGCGTCCACTCCTTTCAGTGGAGGTCTGGGCCAGAGGACCAGCTCAGGCTCCGAGAACACTCTGAGCAAAGATCTGTCCAATGTTAACAGTGAAACCCCAAAATCTGTAATAACGGCTGTGAAAGATCCTGCTTTTGAGGAACCCTTGATGGTAAATAAGCTTAGGTAAGACAAAATACTTTTTCTCATTAGAATTTAAGAGGTCTGATGGAAGCATCGCTTGTAAATTTCAGTGACTTGCTTAGAAAACTATGCTTCAGTGTACCGGTATGGGCTTTTAAGATGCAGTTCAATCCCATAGGTGATGGGAAGAAAAATGGTTTTGGCTACTGCAATAATAATGATTGAATAATATGCAATAACTCGGCTTTTAAGTGGAAGTTTATTTTAGAATAGGCGGTCGGCACCTTTTGGGGGCTCTTTGCGAAGATCAGTTGTCCAACAGTTAACACAATAGGACAATTTACAATAGTAATTGAAGCAAGTGAAAGCTGTGATAATGATATCTTAAGGGATTCTGACGAACAGACATTGATCAAGGAAAGTTGTCTGAGCTCTATTTTTACCATTTCAGCAAGGTCCTACATATATAAAGTTCGGGAAATAAAATTGAGGGAAATGGGTAGAAAAGCATGACCTAGATTCAGAGCAGCCTAAATATCAGAACAAATTCTATGGTTATAAGCAATAAAATTTGTGTTAAGAACAGACAAGATGAAATGTAGATTTCTTCCTGTCAGGATGCAGTAAAGATGGATGAATAGCTGGTTTCCTAGGTTACCGTCAAGGCCTTAGGACTCCTCATTTAGCTAAGTGGTGTGGAATAGAAGTGCAGATATGAACACAGCTGTAAGTCCTTATTGTTACTATAGAATTTGTGTTTCATGGTTGTATGAGATTGTAAATGTTTTGTAAAAATTGTTACCAAGAAATCAACATAGAGATTTACCATGTACAATCTAAGAAGTGCATAGAATGTTAATGAATGATGAAACAAATGATTGAGTCATTTGTATCTGTTTTGCTTGGGCAATCACATTATTTCTGAAGGAATTACTTGCATTTTTTACTGCTCATAACTATTGCACACATTAAACAACACACATTTTCAGGACTACTTTTTATCTGTAACTGTTCTGTATATTTTCTCCTTTTTACAATGGTTGACCACATGCAGCAAAAGTGTAGTACTGTAGTTTTATTGTTTAAAATAAAGTAGTGGCTTGGGCTCTGGACTTGTAACTGAAAGGTTGCAGGTTCAAGCCATTCAGGTTAACTACAGCAGAATGCCCAGCTGTATAAATGGTTACAAAACTAAATCATCATAGAGATTATAGTGACATTTGGTAAAGGTGTTAGCTAAATAATTCTTCCTTCCATTTATGTGGGATACCAGTTGCTTGCAGGACATATGCTCCAACACACAAGGATGATTAACCTAATTAACCTAGCCAACATGTCTTTGGAAGATGGGTGGAAATGGGACCACCTGGTGAATGCCCGTGCCTACATGGGGGCGTCATGCCAATGCCACGTTGCAGGCTCCCCACTCCAGAATTATACCCAGGACCCACCAACAAGAATTTTATTTTAGTCATTGGTGTACTAGATGAGATACTGTATTACAACTGGTGGATGTCATTAAATGTTGGACCAAGGTATAGTGTGTGCTACAAAACCTTTTTTTTCCCTGAACAATGTCTCCCATTTTGTCAGGTTTTTATTTTGTCTGCTCCTTAATAATTCTGCCTTGTTCCCATGTAGTCCTATCCCGGAAGCCAGTCTGGAAGACACCCGCTCTACAGCTTCCTCGGCATCCTCCACTTCCTCCTCTATTGGAGGTCAGTCCGGCATGAAAGACATGAGCCTTCCACGCAAATGGGAACTGAGTCAGTCTCTGTGTGTGAACACAGTTACTGAGCAAGAAGATCGCCCGCAAACTGCAGGTAAAGCGCTAACAAGCACCCAAGTGAGAATCTGTAAGCTAACATAGTTATAAATGAGTTCAAGTAGGTAGCTGCATCCGCATCCATGGGCTGCAAAGGAACAAGTTAAGATTAATTCCATGCTGAAAAGAGAGGAAAAGAAACAATGTTTCGGCTGTGGAGCCTTCACACCCGAAAAAGGTCCATGGTGTGTTTTACACTCTGCTAGATTTAGAGGAACATGTCCTTTTATTTTAGGGGGTATTCTTAAAAGTATCCCATTGAACCCTTGATTTGGAGACATTGCCCTCCAGAAATTGAGTCTCCAGTTGTTTTTTCTTTAATTACTTGTCTGGCGTGTAGTGTCAATTTAAATAGAATGTATTGAATGCATGTAGAACCAATTTGAAAGCAATGTGCAATTAATAAATTAATTATTAAAAATGCAATTCCAATATATACTAGTTATATTTGTAATATGAACACTATACTATTGAAAACTAGTGTATTGAAATATGGACGTTCCTGGTGATGATCTCTATTTAAAAGGCAAGTGTTAAATGTCAGCTCGATTTGATCAGAAAATTATTTTCATCATTAGTCCAAGATGGCTAGCTGTAATATGCATAGTTAAAGGTATTAAATGATCAACTCTCTTGGGGTTGACTGACTTGAGTACTAACGCCGAATGGCTTTTAATAGCCTAGTTAATGTTAGTAATCAGATGTATTTACAACAGGTCTGGTGATTTGCACAAGTGTTTTTGGAATCTGGTTTCAGATCTCAAGTCTTTTGTATTTTTGGTTCATAATTTGAGATTCCTTTTGTTTCCTCTGAAGGCTCATATGCAGTTTTTTTTGTGCTCTCTGCACAACCCTGCCATTAATCTGTATAACTGGGATGTGTGATATGATTATGTAACTGAAATAGCAGGCATATGCACATTAAAGTACTAAAGGGTATGCATGTGTTTATGCCAACTCACACACCCAAATAAATCGTGAGGACTTGAGTGGATGAATTATCCCAGCTGTAAAATATGCTGTTTGTATTTAGAATTCTTGTTTCTACCATTTTTGTAGTCACAGTATATTTGGATAGAATTGTTCATTTAGATGTATGTGTAATGTAGCTGTACTGTGTTTGAAACTTCCCGAGTTTTTACTATTTAAATGACTACTTGTTGGGGGTGTAAAGTTTTGTTAAAAATAATCTTGTATAATAATCTTGAAATAATGGTGGTGTTACTTTTTTTCAGTTATGTATTTTTTCTAATAGATTCTTATGTTTTTTTTGCCTTTTAGGACACTATAAAAATTGATTCAATCCACAAAGTTTGAGATAACTTTACCAGTATTGACAATCCACAATCACAGAATCTTAACTTTTTATTAGTATTTTATCTCTTTTTCCACTGTCTTAGACTGATGCGAAGCATACAGATTCTGGACATTTTGCAAATACCCATCAGAAGAATTGTAGTAATGTAGTTACTGCATTATCATGTAAATCTGTATATTTGTAACAATCAATATTCAGTATTAATAAAGCATAGAAGTTATTTATATGCTATTTGGTTTGTTTCTGCAGGAACTGTGATGGAGAACCCTGTGGGCTTGCATGTCAGAAAACAGCTGTTGGAGAAATTTACTATGGGGAGTATTCCAAATCTTCACATGGAGCTGGGGTCTTTGCCTCAACTAGAGGAGTATTGTGTATTGCCTCTAGGTAACTGTTTATTTTATAAACTTACCTTAATATAAAGTATAACAAATCATGTTTTCTCGGTTGTCTCATGTCAGATACTACTTGTACTTGCTGAGTTTAAGAAACCATTTGTACAACACTTACTGTATGGATGTTTTATGCTTGGTGTGTGAATGCACTTACATAGGATAAATGCCACATCTTCAATATTCCTTTGGAGTGCGAAGATCAGTGCTAAATTACTGAGCACTAGATCTATTTATAGAATGTGCCATTTCAGAAACTAGCTCTTCATTATCAATGCCTAGTTCATTCATAAAAACATGTAAAAACTGGGTATGCTGCCTATTTCTGACAAAAGTATTTTTGCGTGCATACCTGTTCAGTTTTATAGGACAACCTTTTGTAATGTTCTTCAACTTAAAGCATATTGTACAAGCAGAGTACAGTGAGAGCAAGGAAAGGAATGTAAGAGTTAATAAATTATATTTTACAGTTACTGCAACTCCATAAGCTACTGGAAAGGGTTAAATTTTCTTAATTGTGACATTCATAAAACGTACACTTTCTTAAAAGGTGATGACACTTATGAAATCAAACGGGAGATGGTTTGCCATGAAAACTATAAAATGTTTTCTGGAAGCAGCTGTTTGGATAATGATGATGATAAAGTCATTATAGTCAAGGTAAGACCTTTAAATTGTTAAGATAATTTTTTATTGCCTGTTCCCAGCTGGGCTATATTTGCTGTGATTTTGTTTGTGTTTCTTAGGCAAGAAAAGGTAGAGGACAAATAGAAGCTACAGTGAGATTTTTGAGAAAACATCAAATTAAATATAATACAATCCACTCATTGTTAAATACCGATGCGCTAAGGTGGCTGCCTTAATAAATGAAGTGTTAATTCCATTCTTTGGCCATGTTTATTGCCTCAAAGCCAGCTGCATAAACACTTAAACAAAGCCCTTGTATCCTTCATTTAGAATGGAGCAGTTTTCTTTGGAACCTCCTTGAATAATATTCTCTCCTCCTCCTTCCGAACAAAAAAAAAACATTTATTAACACTGTACTCAATGGACACTGCTCAGGAAAGTTCAAACCCACTCCTGTAGCATCAGAAGATGTGAAATGCTTAATACTGAAGTGGTATCGTAACTCATGTCGGAAAGATTTAAACGTCTCAGAATCTAGAGGTGATTATAGTAATTTTATTTTCCTGCAGGTTGACTTCCACCCTGTGCCCTGGGATTTCTACATTAACATGCAGTTGAAGAAACGCCTAGGTGCAGATTTCCCAAGATATTTCAATGACCTGTGCAGCTGCTATATGTATGAGGAAGGCTGTGTGACATTGAATGAGGGAGTGTACTCAAGAACTCTGCTGGTGAATATTGAAATGAGCCTACACAATGAATACAACAATATTGGCAATTATTTAAAGCACACAAAGCAATATAGATAACTAATTCAAAACTGTTTTTTCTAAAATCTGATTTGCTGTTTGACTTCAAATAGTCTTGAAGATGTTTTTTTGCAAAATGATCTCTTCTTCACTTTGAACATGAAGAACCTTAGCATTTACATAATAAGCAGTTCTGATATTTCAAAAAATGAATACATTTTACGTTCTTTAGGGTTCTGACTGTTTCTTTTAATGACAGGATGTTTTGGAAACAGCTACTCTTTGCACAAATGTGGCTGCTTTTCTAACGGTGAATTTGCTGGAGTTAATTGAACAAATGCACAGTTGCCATTTGGTGCATGGAAATGTCAGACCTGATACCTTACTCCTGGAAAGCAGGTATGCTGAATGGCTGTGGTTGATTTTGTAAATCTCCTGTTATGAACATTACAGAAAGATGCTGCCATATGCCAAAAACAAGTGTTTGGGCTATTTCTTCAACTATTACTGAGAGCTAGCACTGTGTGATAATTGACTTGAATTTGATTTAAATGCATTAACTTCACAAACTGTATACCTTTATAAATTTGTAATTAGCAGTGGAACTTTAAATTAATTTATTTTCAATGCTGCTTCAGTAATTGTCAAGCAATGATAACCATGGATGGAATCATTAGTATAAATGAAATTATTCATTCTTGTTCTTTGTGTGTAGATCCCTTGCTTTGTGAGTATTGTGTAGTATATTTCTAATCTTTTGAAAACAATTCAGTTTTCTGGCGGAAGGCGGCACTCCCCTGAAGGTGGTAGATTTTACGCACAGCTTGGATTTGGATTTGCAGCCTGAAGTGACATCGGTCCGTGGGCTTCAAAACGCTCAACCCTTCCTGAAGCAAGGCCTGTTATCAGAAACCTCTTCTCCTTATCAGGTACAACCAGGGCTAATTATAAACTACATATGGGTTTTAAAAACTTTACTGTGTTGAGAAAATTAGTGACCTGCAATAGAAAAAGTACCAAGTGGTTTTAGCTTGTAACAGTCCATGCTATGGTTGAAAAAATGATTGTGAAATGTGACATAATTTATTTTTGTTTTTGATATGGTTTAAACTTGGTTTGAGTAACAGAACATACATTTTTTTAAGAAGTACCAGCATAGGTTTCTAAAGTGTACTTGAATGAGGTTTTGATTTTTAAGAACTAAAAAAATGAAATGTTTCGGTGAAATACGTTTGTTACATAAAGGCATTAACAGCAACTACAGTAGCTCTAATCTTTGTCAGATACTTCATAACAGAATCCAGTCTGTTTTTCTATTGCATCTTGGAATTGATCATTGAAACTTCCGTTTAACAATTTTCTAAATTAAAAATGAACAGGGGCATCTTTTTATCCATTTTTATCCTTTGATCACCTTGTGTGCTATTTATTTTAAGTAAAATGTGAATATACCCTGACAAAAGATTACTTTTAAGCTTGTATTCATTATCAGCTGAGCACAGCTTAACTGCTTCTTTGTTTTTTTTTTATACACAGCTAGACCTTTTAGGAATTGCAGATACCGTACATATGATGCTGGAAGGAAAAAACATGCAGGTCATCAAAGAAAACTCTGAATGGAAACTTGTCAAAGAGTCGGACGTCTCTTCTGGGAAGGAGAATGTGTAAGTTATCATTCATTCTATAGTAACCTCAAGAGCATTGGCTTTTAATCTTTTTTTCCTCTTTTGTTCACCATCTTCCTTCTGTCTTATGGTGTCAGCTCAGGTAGTGCCTTATCTCCTTTGCCTTTTTTTAAAAAAGGATTATAATTGTTACAGTTAAAATAAATAAGATCCTAAATGTCTTGTTTTAACTGTTTTCCATATAAAAACACTTGGAGTTTGAAAGCTAAGAATAGTTTTAGATGAGAGTATTTTTCTCATTTGTTTCATATGACAGTATTGTTCTAAGAATTCCTTCTATTGCTTTCTCAAAACCAGGTTCAAGAACTTCAGTGCATCAACATGTTGATTAGTCACTGAATTCAGTCTATAGTTTGTTAAACATTTCTTGTTTAGACTTTGAGTGTTCCAGAACTTCCAGTGTTGCACTGCTGTATTGACTGATAGACTGAAAACAATATTTTTTTCTTATCGCATATAAAGCTTAGAAGAGGTCTTTGCAACTCTTATCAATTTCTCTTTCCTGACTTTGCAAAATTGCATCTTCATAAATTCTTAAAGAAATGTTATTTTAGTATCTGACTTGGTGCTTGCCTGATATTGAGTTATACTGATGTTCATTACAAGAAAGAGAATCAAACATCCACCTAACTACATGTGATTCTTGCTTTAAGCAATTTGGAGGCAAGACACTTTACAAGTATTTTTCCTCAGCCTTACTACACGTGTCAAAAGTCAACCTGACTTTTGAGGTCTTTGAGATGCATTTCCAAAGCTTGCTTACTTTATCACTAAGTGCCTTGCTAATAGTTTTATATAGTAATTTAGAGCTCCTTGATCTTAAAGGCCCACACATCTGAACTCTGAACTGGAAATCTGAACTGGAAGCAGGCATGTACTGCAAAATAAAATGTAAAGCAACAGTTTTTTTTTCCTTTTTTCTGCAAGCAACAAAATTAATATATTTATAAAACATGCACAGCTGCTTCCAGTATTGATATTACTAAAATCTTTAGGCTTGAGGTTATGAAAGCCTGCTGTTTGCATACTCGTAAATGATCACTTTTTAAACTGGCGCATAACGAAAAGGTGAAATATAAATATTAATTAATATATACAGCATATTTTAATATATTATGCACAAATCATTCATTTGTCTTTTTTGTTTACCTGAAGAATTTTTGTGCTCAGTTATACAGCTGGGCATTTTACCAAAGCAGAAGAGGATGACCTCACTGCCCCACCCAGGCTTTGAGCACACATCTTTCTGTTTACAATTCCAGAGACCAAACCACTATTCCACAGCTGTCGAATTGTGACATACAACACCGTCCACAATACAGCAATCTTTAATTTTTATGTTTGCGTTAATTAGTAACCCTGTGGTTGAAAACCCCTGCACTAGGGGATAACGTTAAGAATTATAACTTATGGATATTACAAACAGGAAGGAGTAATTTGATCTGACTTGCTTGTTTGGTTGCTAGTAGCTTCAGATAATGATCAGATAATTCTATAACTTAAAAGATTTTATGAAGTCAGTATAATCCAAGTGTGACCCTCCCTACAAATTAGGAATTAGTCTCGTTGCTCTCTTTCATGCTGCCTGGACATGAGACCATGATATACTCTTTAATTTTATGGTACTGCTGTTGTTTCTGATTGATTTTTTTTGTAAACAAAAATGTTTCCATGGAAGTTTGTTTCATTGCAAGCTTTCTGACGTTAAGTGCTACTCGAAGCCAGGGATAACAAAAGACCCTAGTCTTGGAGTGTTTCACAATGTTAGCTGTTTTTAGACCTGCCAGATAAGCACTCCTGCCGTTTCAGAAAGATTAAAAAAGATCATAAGTCTCAAAGTTATTTTTTTGTTTTTCATTAAGGTTTTTTGTTAATATGGAGCTTTAACATTTTGAAGCTGCATGGAAAGTAGGTTACAGAGTAACTTTTTTTTCATATTTCCCTTCAGTTCTAATACTTTTCATTTAATTTGCAGAAATGTAAATAGAGGCATTTGGCAGGATTTCTTCAGGAAGATCCTTAATCCTGGGAGCAAACCCACAGTCTCCATTCTTTCTGAGCTGCGTCAGGAGATGTGCAAGGAGAACTTCCTTAAAGACATTGAAAAGGAACTGGCTTTTTTAATCTAATATATTTTTGCCACTGTTATCACAGTGACCCTTTACAGCTTTTTTATTTCTTTGTAATTTTTGCTTTTCATGTTAACAATAAAGCTTTTCTACTATTGTAAATTCACACATTTTCCATGGTTTGCTGTTAGCATTTGCTCAATGTCTACTAAGAGTTGAAACATGGGAATCAAAATAAGGAAGAAGCTTGACTATTAAGATAGTTGTACATAGATTTTGTACAGGGGGTCCAATAATTTGATTGAACACCTTATTAATTTTAACAACGTCTGTAATTAAATTCCACAAGTAAATGTCAATGGCATATCTAGGAAACTATGATGAAGTGGCCAAAATGTTTACTGGCTTTGTTCCTTATTTTCTGGAGCTTACAAGTTATGTACAGAAATCCATCTCTTCTCAGAAGTTAAAACGGAATCGTAGAAGAGGAATTGGCTTTAAACAAGGCATCAAATCAGTAATATGTATTAATGAGGCAATGCCAGGTCAGACAGAGTGCAAAATATATAGCCACAAAATCCAAACTGCCTTCCAGCGAGGCAATTATTTTATGTGGTTCCCTGTATCAGTCTAATAGCTATGCAAATTACTCAATTTAGGAGTTTAAGAACTGCAAATATAAGGATCACCTTGGTATCGGGCTGTTAATCATCTGCTTTTACAGTCCGCAGGTGTGGTTTGAGAACACTGAACAGTGCAAATTAAAATTAACTATAAATGACAGGAAGGGCAGCAAAGTCATAAAAGCACACAATAATAAAATGCAAGTTTTTTGGAGAGATGCTACTGAAGAAGAGAGTTGTTTAGAAATACCTTTGTCATTGTGAGCTACCAAAGAGCAGAGGCGTTAACTCCAATGTAAGACGTGGAACTCGTATCTTTTATACAGTTCAGAGAACATTACTTAAGCATGTACCTCAGTAGCTCTTGTACATGTACTGTACCTGTGGCAGGTAAAGTTTTGATGAATATTAATTTACTAGTGCTGCCATCCTGAAACAAAATACAGCCCTCTTAAGGCGTATACATTTGTATAGCTGTTAATAACTTAATCCTTGGTAGTCGTGTGCATTAAATGTTGTGAGAGGAGGTTCAAAATTATCTAGAGGGTATACACCTGCCAAGCTGCAAAAATAAACCTGACATCTCATTTCCATGTTTGTTTCCAGATCCCTGACTATAAAAATAAAGTGTATTATCCATTTATGTGGTTTTATAACCAATTCAATTCAGTTTTGCCAAAGCCTATAGTGGCTAAAAGTGCAAAGGCAAAGGACAGGACACCGTGGCAAACACAAATTTCCAGGTTTCCCAGAAATCAATTACCCTTCGATTATGTTGGACTGTGGAAGGAACCTAGTACACCTAGAGGAAACGCATGCAAACATGGGGAGAACATATGAACTCCATACAGACCGCGCCCCAGGAACTGAGCCCAGGGGCACAGCACTGAAAGGCTGCAATGCTAACCACTGCACCACTGTGTTACTTTGAAGTGCCTAATTTTCAGCAAATTCCTTGCACAAAGCATCATGCAATCTCTCCCCAACTTGCTGATTAAGGATTTTCTGAGTAAACGGTTTTACTGGGTAATTGATTGATAATGAATAGGAATGAAGGAAATGTATCCGATAACTCCCACAGTGAATTGGCAGTGCATATTTCAGCTAGCATACCTGCATAAGGACACTCCTGAAACTCCCTAGGGTGCATACTCCTTACAAATCCATCCAGCTTTTTAAAAGCTGAAAGCAAATTTTAAAGAGGCCTCACACAGAAAATTCAAATAAATGAGTCTGTAATTTAAAGAAATAAAACCATTTTAGTGTTTGTGAAATCAAGTATGAGTGCAGGAAAAAAAAGTGTATACAAGCAAACAGTTCAATTGCTGGCAATACCCAGAACTGGTGATTAAGGGCCCAGTTGGCATGAGCAGCCACAGGGGTACTGCAGTGCAAGGATTGAGAACTAGTGATCTAAGGTATTCTTCATAGGTTATAAAAAACCTGATGTAAAAAAAGCATCTTTTGGATTCCCGAATTGAGAAAAACATTTTATTAGTTATCTGCAAAAGGCATTTACAATGTGCACAATATGTCATTACAATATTGATTACTGCTTCTTTCTATTTCGCAGTGTTTTTTTTTCTTTTAATTGGATCTGTAATGCAATCAGTTGAAATGTGTTGGGGAAAAGGTAAGTCTCTGGGACATGATGATGTGCAAATTAAATAAATGTTGACTGCATTTTTCACTAGGCTCTGAAATAGCCACATGGGAAATATTGAAATATTGAAGTCGGAGCCTCTCCTGGCAAGTAACGGGCACAAGGCAGGATTCATCCTGGCCAGGACACCACAGACCGACACAGACACACATACTCACACCTGGGTCAATTCTTAGTGAAGCCAAATCTATAACCTTTTTTCACTTGGGAAAAACCCACGCAAACACAAAGAGAACATACAAACTCCACACAGATAGCACCTAGGTCTAGAATTGAAGTCCAGGGCCAGTGCTGCAAGAGAGCAATGAAAGTAAGAATCTTTAAAAAAAAAACATTTCTAAAATGACATTTAAGCATCACCTCATTTTACTATAGAAAAGCACTACCCATCTAGTTTGTACCTCATTAAATTTACTACAGTATCCCTGAGGACGACCCTGGCTCTTTTACATCACACGATTTGAAAACAAACTAAAATAAAAATATAGAAACAAACAAATAGCTCGGCAATTTAAACTAAGCAAATTACATCTGTTTCACTTGTGAAAAACTTGTTCTGCTTCTGCAGTCTTTAATCTAGCGTTTGAGAATTGGAAAATATATTCAGATTTGGCAGCCATGAAACTTTTTATCTTTCTATTACATTGTCTGACAGGTGTTCAGTAAGACAGGCTTTTCACACAGCAAAGTTAATGTTTAACTAGATGGGAGGTACGGTGACTAATTTGCAAGTCAAAACCAGTTACTTCGGCTTTCTAAAAAAAGTACTTACTGCAGTTCTCCTGTCCTGCTGTCTGAATAAGAAGTTTTTGCTGGATGGAATAACGAAGTGAGGTTGAGGATTATAGAAGATTGCTGGTCATCTAAGAGAAGTGTACAATCGTTAGGAGGTGAGACTGCACTACATGAAGCAATGGATATGACCTGCATCTAACCCACTGGTAAGAGAATGCTGAGAATAAAAAGACAGCTGTCAAAGAAAGAAATGCAGATTTGAATGTTAAATAAATGGCTGCATTCCATCATTTTATTCCCTTTTTATCTCATGATTCTTTTTATCTTATGGTTCTGCTGATTGGCTTGTTATAAGAAAGGAAAGGTAAGGCCCATGATTATTCATTTAACAGATTACGAGGTTCAAACTGGTCCACATTTATACCCTTTTAGTGTGGTGTATATGTAACAACTCAATTGTAGTGTCAGGACAAACTAAACGTTTAAGAAATTGTCAAGACCTTGTACAAATGTACACTTAAGACTCTCCTAGCATGTGGAAATTAATGTGGAAAGGCACTATTTAAAATAAAGTTGATTATTATTATTCTGACACAAGCTCCTGCGATCTCTGATTTTTCAGATCAGTTAGCAATTCAATGAGGATTTTTGATACATGTATTTTAATGCCATAACAGAAGGTACTTTGAAGTCTTTGCAATACAGATACCAGCTGTTGGTGATATAAACGGGTTAGCGTTGTCACTCCCAGAGAGAAGGAAGCTTAACAGCTGACACATTTAGTCCCTATTGAAATGAAGTACAATGCCTTCCAGAACCTTGCTCAAAGGCCTTTGAGCTAGCATGTAAGACTAAATCTTTGGATGGTCAAAACCATTTATTTTGTTTGGTGTAGATGCTGTACAGTTTTAACCTGTGCGATATTGTTTTCTGCTTTAGAATTGGCAGTTCTGATGCTAAACCTTGAAAATATCTTATTCCCACTGCGTATAGCAGTAAATATCCCTTAAGCGACATTACTGTTAACTGTAGAATTTTGTAAAACAGTAGCTCGTTTCATGCTTATATATGTTTTCAAGTGTCCTGTCATTTTTAAGATAGAATCAAAACAAAAAACAAACGATTAACAGAACCTGACAAATAAAGGAAATATAATTAGCTTCTTTAAAATTGTTTAGTTTGATTTAGCTTGTATGCAAATGATGACACTTACAGTGCACTCAAAGACATAATTTTTTATGTAATTATAATAGGCTTATGTGATGAGTACTAATGTATGAACATAAATTGAGTGAAACCCTGACCTAAAGTGTTGTATTCCATTGTGTTAAAGTTCTAATCCTATCCATAAAACAATAAAAACGATAAGCAAGGAACGCTTATAGATAGTTTGTCAGGAAATATGTTCAAGTAATATGGTAAGTTTTGCTGGGTTTAATGCAACTTTGTAATAAACTCCAGTTAGCAATTAACTACCTGTCTGGGCTTATACCTTTCACCTTTTCCCTGCTGGAAATGATTTCCTAATAAGGAACTTCGACTCTGCCTGAGGCCTTATTCCTACACAGAGATGTGACTTTATACTTGACGAAGGGTTTGACTGCAAACGTCTAAGTAAAAGAGTATTAGCAGATGGCTCAGGTTTGCCAGAAGGAAACGGGCTTATAGACTACCAGAGGCTGGGGGTGGGGTATATCAAGAGCTTCAGAACAATTTCCAGCCTGGCTTTCAATTTTAACTTTTTAAAACCACCCACTGGGGTGCAACAGGCAGCCTTCAAAGAAAACAGACAGGAACCTGATCAAGTCCTTTGCTGGATTTATTCTCATCAGGGTGTTATCAGCAAGGTTCACCCACACAGCTGGCATTCCAGTGCCATGCATTTCTATTCCAGCTCCAGCAACCTGTTGATTTGTATCTCACAAACAAATAAGCCAGAACAAAATTAAGCATCGCTGACCCACGGTTCTCAAGTATAGGTCGTTCTCAAGGACTGGTCAGCAGCTTTGTGGAGTGGTGTGGGGTGAACCACTTGGAACTGAATGTTACAAAGACAAAGGAACTGGTGGT